AAAAAAAAAAACATCAAAACAACGGGGGAGCTTTCGAAGCCGAGACGAACCTCATTGACTTTGGGACGAGCTCCTGGCCATTCTTGGCCGGCCGGGGTACCGAAATAACTTCCATTCCGCCTAGAAGCTCTTTCGCTCGTCCCGCGTGCGTGCATCTCCGCGTCTTTCTCTTTTCGGATGTGTCCGCTCCTCCCAGGGAATGCTTTTCTGGACCATCCAACATATATAAGAATTGAAAGCTCCATTTGTCACGGTTACAGTGACTTTATCGAAAGGATGATAAATCTTCTTTTTTTTTGGCTGTATAATATGAATCATGATCGATAAGACAAGAAGCGATGACTCGCTGTTTCCGCGGAGTTTGTTAGACGATTGGCCCATCGAAAGTAGATAAACGGATCGGTATATTGGCGATCAAGGTATCAGATCGTACAGTAAGCCCCGCTGTGTGGTGATGAAGCGCTTCCGCGGAATATTTTTGCTCCATCGCTAAAAATAATATCATGCCCGATTTCCTGTATTTCATATAGCTCGTTGTACATCGGACCATCACAGCTAAATACAGAGATGAGATATGAACCGACGTTTTCTTTACCGTTTTCACGGGGATCGAGGGATTACTTGTTTCGCGATCGACGGTCACCGATTTTCTCAGTTCCCAAACCGGTATCCATCATCTCCACAACGGTACCATCTCGTTTTGGATCACATGTATCACCTATGCTCGAAACCGAATTTTACTTAACAGCTTTAAAAAAGATTTCAAGAAAAAGGAACGTGCGTCAGCGAGCGTCGCAAGCTCTCTGTATCTTTTTTTCCTCGGCTTTGAAGCCCCTCGCCCGCACATCCACACCGGCCTCTGGAGCCGCTCCGTTCCTTCTCCTCTTTCCGCGTGTCGTCACCGTCTCCCCTCCCGTCCATAGAAAACCTCGCGTACGCGCGCCTGAAAATACACTTGCTCGCGAGTATACCGTACGACCCACCACCGGCGAAAGCTCCTCCCTTCCACGCGCGACGTAGCCATCGGCTCCTCGACCGCGCGCACACCAAACTGCAAAAATAACGCGTGAACGGCGGGGCGCTCAACTTTAACTGTGGTCTTTTTGCCGAACCTCCGACCGAGCAGATCAACGGCAGCAACCACCAGCGACAGTTCACCACCACAACCGGCTCCTCCAACAACAGTGCCACAGACTCGGCTTACGCAAAGCCGAGCAAGCAGCAGCAGCAGCAAGTAAAGTCGAGCAGTCCTCTGCCTGCGGTGGTTGGAGGTGGATCGGCATCAGCAGCGGGGGTCCCGGGCCAGTACCACCACGACAACAGCCAGACGCGCACTATCCATCACGTAACCGAGACCCGGACGACCCGCCACTACCCGGCCACCAGTCATCAGTACGAGTACGCGGTCACCCACTCGATCAAGCAGAACCAGTTGGATTCTATGCTCGGCAATTTACAGGCAGACATGAGCCGCCAAGGAGTCAATACCACCCAGAAGGGATGCTGCGGTGCCTGCGAGAAACCCATCGTCGGACAGGTCAATCCCACACCTTTTCTTCTTTCTGTATGCTCACTCGCCGTCCAAAAAGTGGACCGCGAGAGCGCATACGTATATATTACAATACTACAATAATATCTGTTTTTACCCGAGAGATAAATCCTATACGGCCGAGCTTGCAAGTGCAGCTTATTTTGGCTTGGAGCCGCCACCTGGCCTCGACCATACACACACACACACACACGCGCAAACTCTGAACGAGCCGACGCGTGTTTTCCCACTTTTCCCCCGATTCCGCGCAAAAAGCCGGTCATATGTTTTTGCTTGCCGAGGCGAATTTCACCTAACGAGGGTCACCATTGCAGGTGATAACCGCCCTGGGCAAGACATGGCACCCGGAGCACTTCAACTGCGCCCACTGCAACCAGGAGCTCGGCACCAGGAACTTTTTCGAGCGCGAGGGCCGGCCGTACTGCGAGCCCGATTACCACAACCTGTTCTCGCCCCGCTGCGCCTACTGCAACGGCCCGATTCTCGATGTACGACCGGATTCGACGAGCCGCGCGCTGCGAGTGCCAACCGTGGCCTTATACTTTGGCTTTTGTTTTCCAGAAATGCGTGACCGCCCTGGACAAAACCTGGCACACGGAGCACTTCTTCTGCGCCCAGTGCGGCAAGCAGTTCGGCGAGGACGGCTTCCACGAGCGGGACGGCAAGCCGTACTGCCGCGACGACTACTTCGACATGTTCGCCCCAAAGTGCGGAGGTTGCAACCGCGCCATCATGGAGAACTACATATCCGCCCTCAACAGCCAGTGGCACCCGGATTGCTTCGTTTGCCGGGTATGGATTTTTCCCTTTTTCCTTTTCCTTTCTACATATGTTTGCACGCCCAAGTTTCAGCCCCACCAAACGCAGCGGTAAACCCGTGGACCATTGGAGTTGTTCAATATTGTTTTTTTTTTTTTTTTTTTTTTTTCTTTTTTTTCCTTATTTTATTCCTATAGCTTATACGCGGCGTTTAAAATGCCAACGGCGTGTGAGGCCGCTCGCACGACTATACACTTGGCATTGGTATTGTTATTGCTCATATGTATACCTTTGACAGAGCCCACGAGATCGTTGTATATTGCCATCGGCACGCGGGAGCGAACGAGTAGGATATGTTTTGTCATTGTGCATATATTTGCAGGATTGCAAACAGGCGGTATCCGGCAAGTCCTTTTACGCCATGGAGGGCAAGCCATTGTGCCCCAAGTGCGTGGGCGTTGACGAGGAGGAGGACGGCGAGGAGGAAGAGGCGTGAGGCGGGCTCGTAGATGGGAGGAAATTTATTTGAAAGGAAAACAAAAAAAAAAAAAAAAAACAACAAAAATAAACAAACAAAAAAAAGATATGTTTACGATTGGATGACGCGAAGAGGAAGGGGTACGAGTGCGGGGAAAGTTNTATCGTCTTCTTCCTCTGAGATGCTTCCGATCTTATTTTACTCTCTTTACTCTTGTTTTTGATCTAATAAATTAAAAACATTTTGGAATATGCGTGTGGACGGGGAGGAGGACGGCGAGGAGGAAGAGGCGTGAGGCGGGCTCGTAGATGGGAGGAAATTTATTTGAAAGGAAAAAAAAAAAAAAAAAAAAAAAAACAACAAAAATAAACAAACAAAAAAAAGATATGTTTACGATTGGATGACGCGAAGAGGAAGGGGTACGAGTGCGGGGAAAGTTTGTGCGTGCGTGTTTTTTCCGGGTGAATGTGAGGGCGCGAGAGGATACGGATGTGACAACGAGCTGGACCACCGTGGAGGATTTTTCTTTCTCACCAAGTACACATTTTATCCCCCCCCCCATAGCCACGAAATCATATTATGACCTCCGGGCTCCAACTGATGCGGAGCCCTGTTGACCCCTTTTTTTTACACCAGCTTGGACACGTGAGATGCAACACACCCGAAGTCCCGAAGATGCATGTGACGACGATTTCCAGGAAGCGCGCGATCCTTGACCTCAAAAGAGTCAGGATCCCGCCAACATGATGTAAATGGATGAACCCCCTCACCCTTTTCTTTATCTAGCAAACCCATACACACACGCACACACCATACAGACACGTGGAGAAAGAAAAATCTCTGCGCCAGCTCGTGTGGCAAAGACAAAAAAAAAATTAAAAAAAAAGGAAGAAAAATGAAAATGTACCCGATGGGGGTGACGCAAAAAAAAATACATAAGATATGTAGCGTGCAGAGTACCACTATTTAACGTCGTTGAAAAGGTGAAAGCACTCGCGTACGCGCGAGCTGCGAAGAAATTGTTTCTATTATATGTACTGAAACTTATATTTTCGAAAAA